CCCGCACTCCCATACTATCTCACAACCCATCATGACGACCTCCACCATCCCCACCCCCCGTCCCACCTATTCCCAAGTCACCTTCGGGGTTTACCCCGCAATGCCACAACTTCCCCCCAGCTACCTCCTTGACGACAACATCGAATTCGATTACACCTGCTACGACACTACCCCCGATAACCTCAACTTCAACGCCCTCGCTCGGATCGTTTCTCGCGAAGGGGAAATCCCCCGTTCCTTCCGATCCGTTGACATCATGCCCTTCTCCGGCCTTCCTCACGAGGACGTTTTCCTCTTCCTTACCCAGCTCCAGAACTCTTTCAAGCTCCACCACATGCCCCTTGTCCACTAGCTTCCCATTGCCACCTCCCGCTTTCTCAGCAATGTCACCAAATGGTGGATGGCTGAAGTCAGCAACCGCCGCGCCTCCAGAGGACCTCGTCACTCCTTCCTTCAATGAGCCAACCTTCTCACTGCCACCTTCTACCCCCAGAAAACCATCGATGACTACCTCGAACAATTCTGTCACCTTCGCCAGACCGGTCCCACGGACCGCTTCGTCCAATACCGCTCCCTCCGCCATCACCTGCCCACCACGGCCATTCCCGACTTTGCGTTCATCTCCCGCATCAAGCGAGTATGCCACGAAGATCTTGCAACCTCCCTCGCCTACGAACCCGACATGCCCCTTGCTGACCTCCTCTCTCGCATGCTTCACCACGGTCGATGACTCCACCCCCATCAGCAGTCCGGGCCCGTTCCCTCCCGCCCCCGCTTCTTCCATAACATCACCCCTGACGAGACCATTCCACCCACCTCCGATGACGACTTCGACACTGCCTCTCTCGACCCCTCCAAATTCACCATTGAAGACCTCCAGGCCGTCCACCTTATGCAAATGGAACGCCAGGATCGTGCGTCCCGACCGCCTTCTTCCTCTCCACCCTGCCGTCTCCAGAAACTTACACCCGCAGAACGCATATGCCTCCAGGAACACAACGGGTGTTTTGGCCGCTGCCAGTTAGGTCACCAACAGACCAACTGCCCCAACGCTAGCCACTTTACTCGACAGGCCCCTCACTCTGCGGGACCCGACCCTTTTACTCCCTCTTCTTCCTCCACCGTGACAGTCGGGCCCTCCACCTGAACGCTGTCCCCCTGTCTCTTGCAATCCTCCCCCGGCATCGACCACTTGTCTGTCGGCTCTCCCATCGGTGACGATCTCTCCTTCACCAGTGGCCCACTTGGCATCGACTATCCGTCTACCTACCCCTCCTTCGGTGACGCACATCCCATCGAATGACCCCCAGGTGACGCAGTCTACGTCGCCATGACCCATATCCAGCTCCTCCCATCACTCCATCACCGATACACCCAAGGCTACCTCTCTTGCTCAGACTTCGCCGCCATTTACAACAAGCTCCGCGAACTTGATCCAGTTCCGGACTACTCGCTCCACGACAACCTCCTCTACATCGACACCAAAGGCACTCGCCGACTGTCCATCCCTGACACACGTGGTCTTCGTACCCAACTCTTGGTCGAGCACCACGACACCAAGACCGCAGGTCACCTCAGTTTTTAGAAAACCTTCAACACCATCTCCCGCTACTTCTATTGGTCGTCTCTACTCACCGACGTCAAAACATACATTCGGTCATGTCTCACGTGTCAGACTATCAATCCCTCGCATTGGGCCGAACCTGGCAAGCTCCAATCATTGCCCATCCCCACTCACTGGTGGCAGTCCATTTCCATGGACTTTGTGTGTGGCCTCCCTAAGACCGACCGTGGGCATGATTGCATCTACGTCATTGTCTGCCGCCTGACCAAATGCGCCCACTTCATCCCATGCACCACCTCACACACCGCCAAAGACATCACCTTACTCTTCTTCGACCATGTTGCACGCCACCACGACCTTCCCAAGAATATCATCAGCGATCGCGATGCCCGTTTCCTCTCACAGTTTTGGAAACAACTCTTCAACGCCTATGGAACTACACTCAAGTATAGCACTGCATTCCACCCACAAACCGATGGACGAACCGAGAAGATGAACGATACTCTCCAAAAAATCCTACGGAAGTACTGTCATCCACATCAATACGACTGGGAGAAGTTGCTCACCGCTGCCGATATCGCCTACAACAACGTTGTTTGTCCTTCCACTGGCATGTCTCCATTCTACCTTGACCTTGGCTAACACCCGCGCTTGCCCTCTGATTTCCTGCTTCCCTCCCAACTCAACCCCTCCACACCCTGCCCTTCCCTCAATGAATGGGTAGCAACAATGAATCAACTCCTTAGAGAAGCAACCGACGCCCTCGAAAGAACACAAGAACAACAGGCAAACAAGATCAACAAACAAAGACGAGACTTGCAATTCAAAGTAGGGGACAAAGTCTGGCTCTCCGCCAAATGCTTCGAACCCGAACATGGATTGTCAAAGAAACTCTCGAACGAATGGCTCAGTCCCTTCCCCATCATTGAAAAAACCTCCGACGTCAACTACAAACTCAAACTCCCCCCCAACATGAGCCGCGTCCACCCTCGTCGAATACTTGAAAAAATATCATGAATCCCCACCCCAATTTGCTGACCGCCCATATCCTATACCTCCACCTATCATGTTACCCACAGGCCCTGAATTCGTTGTTGAAGCGATCATAGGTCGACGAACTACTAAGGTATTTGACCACCCGGAACCAATCACTGAATACAAAGTCAAATGGACCGAATACCCCAACGAAAAATCTACATGGGAACCTCTCTCGAATCTCAAGAATGCCATGAAACTTGTCCGCGCCGATGATCGTGCTACTCCTATGTCTTAGACACCCACGTAACTACAACCCTAAACCCCTGTATAAACCTTGCTACAACCTCGTGAGCCCGTTCTATACACACCCTTGAACCCAGCCCACCCTCTCCTCGACCCCGATTCTTGATGTCTGATCTGCCCTTGCCCTCGCCTAGCCTTGTCCCATYTGTCCTCTCCACTACCTTGTCTCTCTCGTCCAATGCTTATGAACCTGCGTGACGCCGACGATAAAGGATCTAATGGCAAGCGCACGAGGAGGATGGCCTGCTGCCTCACTGTTCATGGACATTATGCAGCTGGTTTGGCCACCATGCTGTTTCACCGGCCGGCATCCCGACTTGCGGACTTACTGGAGCAGCAACTTGTGACATGGATCATTGCATCAGTCTGCGACTTCCTTGCTTCCAGTTCAGACCTCATTGCAGTTCGTGTACTGGACGCACCCTAGCACTTGGACTTTGGACATTTGAACTACGGATACACTTCTTGGACTTGTACCTGTCTCGGCCGCTGAAGACCGCTTTTACCACCTACTCCAAGACCTGATCAAGACCGCTGCAGATCCCCTTTTAAGACACTTGGACACTTTGTTCCTACATGAGATTCTGCTTCCGACTCCTTCGGACACACCAGCCCTTGCCTCCTTAACAAACATTTTCATTTTTTTTAATTTATTTTTTCCTGACTTTGGCAACCCTGTAGAACATCATTCGCAGATCCTTGTTTCCCTGACCATTGTTCCCCTTACCCACTAGAACATCAATAGAAATCCCCTGTTCCCTTTACCATTGTTTCCCTTACCCACTAGAACATCAATAGAAATTCCTTCCCCTACCCAGTAGAACATCAATAGAAATCCCATGTTCCTTGAGCATTGCTTAGCTTCCCCTATAGACCCACCCAGTTATATCATACCTTCACATGTGCAGAACACCAGACAGAATACCCTGTGACCTGCATCACTCCCCTTCTCCATCTCCGACCAGTGATCGGCCCCTTCCCGTCCTTCACAACTCCTTTTGTTTCCTTGGCTTTTTGGCAGTTGGGACGTTGCCTTTCAGAGGGAGGGATAGCGTTACGGACTCCGCCAGGGCTCGATCCCTGGCTATCTTTTTGCTGTTTCTGCTGCATCCCGTTTCGGCTTGGGACCTTTTTTCCCAAACCCCTCCTTTGGTACCGTMGGATTTTGGACAACTGGCGCCATGCTGCAATTCGGGTGCTACTTTCAAATACCGCATTTTTCAGTTTTGCCCTCGGGGCCTTTGCAGCTGTCTCTTATACACATCTAGATGTATTTTTTGGCATTGACAAATGCCCTGAAAATTTACAGATATGTAGTTTACATAATCAATAACTCGTTAAAATGTTTTCAAAAAATAATAAAATTTTTAGGCCCCGAATAAAATGAAAACAAAAAGTTAAAAGTGAAAACAAACAAAATAGTGAGTGGGCGAGCACGTTTTGACACCCCCATCTTTGACGATTTTTAGTGTTTTTTTGGCTTAGCAGAATCGCGTCAAAATTAATAGGCGTGTAGGTTACATCATAGAGAACTCACAAAAAAAAATTCAGAAAACGAAACGTATTTTTCGGCCCCGAAATATTTTTTGGCGGGGACCGAACCTGGAGGTGTTCGGCCCCCAAACGGGACCCCGAACGCCCGAACGTTCGGGGGCCAGCCCGGGGTCCCACGAACGTTCCGTCAGGTAACCCTGTATATATATATATATTCTGTTTGTGACGTTATATATATATATACTAGGCTGGGCCGGCGCCCAGCCGGGCGGACCCTGGCCGGTTGGGCCCGGGGGGGTCCGCCCGGCTGAACCAGGCATCGCAAAAACATAGCAAGGAATTTTTTTTATTTTTTTTTCTGAAGGTGGGGTTGTGCTGCGCTGCACTAGAGGACCCCGAATCTGCAATAAAAAAGTACTTCGGGGATTGTGGGGGGGGAGTGGGGGGAGGATGCTGGGGNAGAGAGAGAGAGAGAGAGAGAGAGAGAGAGAGAGAGAGAGAGAGAGAGAGAGAGAGAGAGAGAGAGAGAGCAATGGGGGCTTTGTTGCTCTGTGTGGGTTTATCGCAATGCACTAAAGACAAGATCAAATGAAGATATTAGTACCTGTGCTGGAGTCACCTATCATCAGCTTGGCTAACACAGTCTTGATCTTCCCTTTTGTTCGTGCAGGTTTGCTGCTACTGAAGGATGTATGTTTAAGGACTGGGGTGATAGATAAGCTTGACCTTCCATTCCACACAAAGAAAGGTGAAGTTCTTTATTTTTAACATATCCGTCGTTTGCTGTGCCAAATGATGGGGTGAATTACTCAATCCTGGTGTCAAAAACCTGCAAAGAGGTGCATGCCCCCACAACTTATCCTAAAGGTCGGGAATCCACTGACAGCCGCTGGGAGAGTTGAGGACCATCTTTTCGTTTATTATGAGTTTGTCCCTGATTATTTATTTATTTTCCCTTAAAGTTAAAACTACTAACCCCCAACACGGATTTGCATTGCGTGCCAAAAAGAAATTGAGCTCCCAGCCGGATTGTCTTTTTTTTTTTTGGCTGGCAGACACCCCGGTACGGCTGTTTGCCACAATTTCGACTCTCAAGTTTGCCTAGGCCAGGTACTGGTTGTTTAAAGGGAATAACGGGTCCTGAGGGACGCATCTCTCAGTTGGGCCTAGTACTGCATGTATTCATTCTTTTTTTGTTTGTTTGTTCTTCTTTTTTAAAAGGGCAAGATACAAGGAAATTCGCAAAGCAGACAGTAATAAACCGAACTGCGATATCTTACAGAAGATTGGACGAAATTGAAGGCAGAAATCGAAGCGAGAGTCACACCAAATATTATCGAACAAAGCACTGAAGTCTCTTGATAATGAGATCCCTTCTAACGCCTCCAATCACCAATACAACGACAATGTAGCGTTCCCGCAGGCCGCTGTGCCGCCAACTCTAGCCTGCCTTGTCAACACCAAGTATGTGCTTCCATACTCAGCCTCTCTCCCTTGTCGAGAGATGGTTAACAACAAATGTTATTTACAGGTCACTTTCAGCCGCTCCAGGTCCCCACTTGAAACTTGTGAAATGACCTGAAGTGGCTGAAAATCTGAAAAGTGGTTTCAGGTGCCCCCGTCCAACCATTTAGATGGGGGTACCGGAAACCGCTTTCAGAAGCTTCAACCATAATAGGTCATTACTGCAGTTTCAGGTCCCCACCTGAAATTCTTGAAATGACCTGAAGTGGCCGAAGCTTCTGAAAGGGGTTTCAGGTACCTCCATCCAACCATTAGGATGGGGGTACTGGAAACCCCTTTCAGAAGCTTCAGCCACTTAAGGTCATTACGGCGGTTTCAGGTTCCCACCTAAAATTCCTGAAATGACCTGAAGTGGTTGAAGCTTTTGAAAGGGGTTTCAAGTATCCCCATCCAAATGGACCTGAAGTGGTTGAAGCTTGT